CCCACACCCGCATGGGGAAACAGGAGCCCCACAGACAGCCCGGGGTGTCAGATGGCTGCAGGTCCTTGCCCAGAGGGTCCCTGCTCTGCTGGCCACAGGACTGGTGCATGGGAGGCTGGTTCAAAGGGTTCCCCATCGTCCTTCTGGAACCTCCCAGTCTTGTCAGCTTGGGGCAGCCCTCCAAGTTCCTCGCCTCTCCCTTCCCAGCACCCAGACTCCCAGCACACGTGCTGGAGCGCTCCAGGCCAGCCCAGCCTCCCAGCTCCCCTGACCTGCTTTCCTTTCCTGTCTCCTCTGGCCTCAGCGCTGATGTCAGGTCCCAGGAAGCCATCACTGGGCAGCAGCCCCACCACAGCCAAGTTCCAGGCCTCCCTCCACACAGCCCTGGTCATGGAACCTGCGAGGCCCGATTACTTGTCATGCTGTCCCCGTCCTGGGCTGAGGGAAGACCCCACTTCACACTTGGCTGAGTGCCCACAAGACCCTGCCAGGCTCCTGGCGCGAGAGGCTCAGTGGTGGAGTCGCCCAGGTGAGGTGAGGTAGGGGCTCCGGAGGGGCTCCCAGGACCATGGGAACTGAGGGAAGCCTCCGGGGTCCTGCCCAGCATGGCCAGCCAAGACCCTCCCCACATCATCCTGGGAGGGTTGCTGTACAGATGCCACCCTTGGGGCTCAGGGTGGGTGGGCTGGGGGAACTAGCAAGGCTCTAAGAGGATGCCTATGTGGGGCGTGTGGAGGTGTCCATGCAGCCACTGGCGGCAGGTAGCTGAGGATGCTCCCAGACATGGCCCACAGTGGGTGAGGAGTCACCCACATTGGGTGAGAGATGCCCTAGCCATGGCCCACAGATGGGCAAGGGGGTCCCCTCAGCCGTGGCCTGTAGGTGGATGAGGGGAACTCCCCCTGGCTGTGGCCTGCAGGTGGGTAAGGAGGCTGCCAGCTATGGCCTACCGCTGGGCAAGGGGGCTCCCTTAGCCACGGGTCACAGTTGTTGAGGGGCCCCTGGTGGTGGCCCACAGGTGGGCAAGGGATATCCATGCCTATAACCCACATAGGCAGGGCCCCCGTCCCAGCTGCAGAACCCAGTCAGCTCTGCTCAAAGAGGTCAGCAGCTTGGACCGTGGAGGACCAGCAGGCAGCCTGCAGGCAGAGCTACCTCTCTGGCCCAACCTCCCTACTTCCTCAGGCAGGGTTGGGGGCTCTCAGAAAAGAGCCGGGGCTGCCAGTTCTGACTGGGGCAGCAGCTGTCCAGGGCAGGCTGCAGGGGACCCTGACAAGAGTACTTGGCTGGCTACCTGCCCTCCGACTCGAGGGCCAGTACTGGGACTGCTGTGGGTGCCAAGCCTGAGGCCGATGGGTCGCCCAGAGCCATGGGTTTTGATTCCTAAGGGGCGTGGGAGGCCCAGCAGGCAGCCGAGTCCTCCATCCCTCGAGTCCAAGGAGCTGATGGGCAGGCAAGTAGAATTCCAAAGGAAGGCAGCGTGAGCTCGGTCCGAGCAGGGGGACATGCCGCATGGCCTGAATAAGCTCGGGCTCCTCCTCGCCGAGCCCCCGGCTCTTCCTCGCTGGCTCCCATGGCACTGGAGCTGGCGGGCCCTCCCCAGAGCCAGGACTGGAGCCCCCTGGGGGCTGAGCATATGGTGACTCACCCCCTCTGCCTCAGCCCCCAGGTCAGCTAGGCCCAGGACACCTCCTGCCCTCCCTTCACCACGGCGCAGGCGGCCGCTCCCTCCTGGCCTACTTTGGGAGCTGGGAGTCACCCAACGTCTCACTGGGTCTCTTGGTGGAGACAGCATTGCTTGTCACCAGAGGCCCGCCTTAGCCTGTCCCTTCCCACTCATCTCCGGGTCCCAGACAAGGTCCCTGGGCCTCAGTTCGCCCTGGCGGGAGGAGGCATATGGGTTGAGTAGAGGAATGCACCAGAGGCCGGAGTCAGAATTGTGGTCCTGCTGCTTGCCACGCAGCCTCGGACAGCTTCACCGATGGTGCCCTGTGCATCCGTTGCCCGCTGTAGAATGGGGCTGGGCTGGCATCTGGAAGCAGCGTGGTGACGTGGGTACCGTGTGCACTAGGATGTGGAGACCCACCCCCAGGACCCGAGGCTCTCACAGCTACTGTGACCCCATGTGCTACCTGGCCGAGGCCAGGTGACTCAGTGACACTGCATTTGGTGTGGTGGAGAGACAGATGGGGAGTCGGCCATACAGTGACCAGCAGGGCTGGCCAGAGCGCAGGGCGTGGGCATCTCCCAGGGCTGTCATGGACCAAAGTAGGCAGCAGGGCTGGCTGGGGAATGCTCCTGAAATGCCATCCTTTGAGGTGGCCTGGGATGGGGTCAGGCAGACCCCCGGCCGGGCCAGGTGGTATGGGCCGCCGTGGGCAGGGTCCCTCGGAGGATGTGCGGTGGCCCTGGGCCCCAGCCACCACCGCGGATCTGCTTACCGTCTCATGGGGAGCCGGGGCCTCCTGCCAAACTGCCCAGCCTGGCCCGGGCCCCACGCACGCCAGCCCCAAGGGCCCCACCGACCACCAAGTCCTGGCTCCGGGCCACCACTCACTCCCAGATAGGGGCACTGAGGCCACAGAGGGAGGGCCACCCAGAGGCTGCCCAAGCCCCAGGGAGGGGCAGGGCTCGGGCGCAAGTGCTCTTTCCAGTCTGCCCCCGACTCTCTGAGGGCCCCTCTGCTGGGCCGGGTCTGGGGCCAGGTTCTGTGGGTGCCCAGGCTGGGCACAGCGAGGCCGGGGGCTGTTTGATCAGCGGTTCCGCCCGAGGCCAGGCGGCCGG